AACAGGGTCTTCCTTTGTAGTTAATTAGGGGTAGCCTAGAACTTGCTATGTAGTCTAGGTTGGTCTTAACTTATAAACCTTGTGTTCTAGTTTCCTAGGTACTGAGATTAGAGAATAAAACCTGTATTAATGATGACCTCATTTAACTTAATCTTAGTCTGACATTTAGCAAGTTAAGTTTGTTATAACCAATATAAGGCACCAGCTGAGGCATTGCTATTTCCCCAAAGCTTCTTGCATGCGAACTTGTTCTGCAGAGTACATGGAAAAAGAAGCAGACAGACAAAATAGGCAGCAAGATGGGCCAGTAGGCAAGTGTTTTCCTTTTGTTTGTTTTGAGACATTCTATGTATGCGGATCAGAGTTTGTGTGTCTTTGCCCCCAAGTGTTGGGATTAAAGACATTCCACACCATGCCTGACAGGCTGTATTTTTTTTTTAACTCCTGTTGTATTGTGTCAGTGTCATCTTGTTTATAAAGTGTATTGTGTGTGGTGTGTGTATGAGTATGTCCCCATGTGTGTTTACCATGTATGTGCATGTGTATGGAGGCCAGAGGACATCCTAAGTTTCATACTCAAGAATGCCATTCACCTCATGTAAGTTTGGATTCCTCATTGGTCTAGAGCATAGCAGTTTAGTCTAGATTGTCTGGACACTGTGTTTTCATGTGGGTTCTGGAGGACTGAATTCAGTCCTGGTGCTTCTGAGTCAAGCACTCTATTGACTGAGCCAGCCCTCAACATCTATTGGTTGTTGTTCACCACTCAGCATAACCTATGAAGAAACATTGCTAACACATTTGCTAGAGTCATAACAGCCAAGAGAAGTGAGAGAAGGCTTCAGTTTTTGTGTCTCCTACCAAAATATCAAGACTCACTCAGAGTCTTTCTTTAGTAGTTCCACCTAATAAGAGCTTAGGCTTTCCATCTATACAGAAAGAAGCAGGTGAAGGGTAGATACCTAGGCAGTTTAGCTAGACTGTGTCTCAAGATTTAAAAAGACTCTGAGTGTAGCTTAATGGTAATGCTTAGCATTCATGAGATTCTGGGTACTGAAAAAGGTGGGATTGCAGAGAGTTAGATTGTGTGATTACTTCATATAGTTATAAAATACTGTGCTTCTAGTTGCCAAATTTGGAAGGAAATTCATTATGGATAAGCATAGTAAAGAGATATTTTGTATATGTGATTTTGATGTTTTTTTCCCATTAGAATACATTTGAAAAAGAAACTTAATTTTACTAAACACTTAGTATCAATAATGGAGAAGGTTAAAGGTCATAAAGAGTGAACTTCAGTTTATTAGGAAAGAGTAGCAACACAGATTCACCAGTATTTGTATTTGAAAAGTTAGAGCGGGGCTGGGGGTCACTTAGTAAAGTGCTTGCAGCACAAACATGAGGGCCTGAGTTCGGTTCCAGAACATATAAAAAAGCCAGCTGGAATACTGTAGATTTCTGATCCCAGCACTGGGGAGAGGAGGATCCCTGGGGTTTGTTAGCCAGGTAGCATAGCCTATTTGGGGAGGTGCAGGCCAGTGAGAGTTCCTATTTCAGAGCAACACAAGGTGAATGATGCCTGAGACTAGAAAGGATATTCAGGGTTGGTGCATTCCCATGCATGTGCGCAGACATACAGACATACACATAGACACACATACAGAGGGAGAGGGAAAGAGGGAGAGAGAGAGATTAGAATGTATTCATGTCAGATGGGAGCTGAATACAAACCTAGCACAGTGTATTATGTTGCTGGGGATTGAGCCCAGGATCTACTGCATGCTAGGCAGGGGAGTTGACAACTGAGCTACCTCTCCAGCCTTGTGTTAATGTTCTTATATAACACATATATAGTTGGTGGATTTTTTGATTTTAAATTTTCTTCCTTTGTAATTGCAGCAAATGATAAAACATACAAAATGTAAACTAGACATAGTGGTACATGTCTATGATCCTAGCACTCAGGAGGATCCTCTGTCTGGGTCCTCACGTGAAAGCAATTAGTGAGGGGAACTAGCACATGGATAAACCACAGGTTGATGTTATTAACTAATTGTTTGCTTTTATAAGGAGATGCTTTTAATGATTGTGTAAAAACTAGCAAATTTATTACCGTGTGCCGATTTTTATGACTGTGAATGGGTCTCAGCAGATGGAAGAATGCTTTTGGGTAGCCTTATTTGTTGTAACATGGAATATACTTCTGTTAACAATTGAATCTTAAATTGTTAGTGTTTCGATGTAGACCAACCTAAAGCAACGGTTTTGATGTTCTTGAAAGTTAATACAATATATTAGTAGGAATTCAGTTGTTCTGTAAGCATATAGGAATAATCAGGAGCGTGCTTATTCTGTGCAGCTATAAGTTGACAGTATAGATCTTTCTGTTAACAAACCAAACTTTCATAGCTTCTCAGTGGTTTGATTGCTTTACTTGAAGATATATTTAAAAAGATAAAGCAGACAACGGGTTGTGAACTGACTCAGTGGAGAAAGGTGCTTTTTGCCGACCTGAGTTTGATCCTCAGAACCCACAAGGTGGAAGGAGCAAACTGATTCCTGAAAGTTGTCTTCTTGTCTTCTGACCTACTCTCTCTCTCTCTCTCTCTCTCTCTCTCTCTCTCTCTCTCTCTCTCTCTCTCTCTCTCTCTCTCTCTCTCTCTCTCTCTCTCTCTCTCTCTCTCTCCCCCCATAGTAAGTGTAAAAAGAACCAACTGAAGAAAATTAAATTCTGTTCAGCCAGAATCACACTTTAAAATACTATCACACACTGTCACCGTTATTTATCTAATATCACATTTTTTCAGAGTTCAAACCCTGTTGCCACTTCTGTACACTAGTTTTGGCTGTCTAATGGTAGGTGTAAAATGGCCTTGGACAAGATCCTTACTAGTGCTTTCTCATTGAAAGTCAAAGCTGGAAAAGTTCTTTATTAGTTTGTATAGTTCTGTGTTGTCATTGTTTGAATCCATTGGAAATGAAAAATGACAGTGACTATAATTTAACTGTTAAATATAATTAAAATATGAAAATATTGCTGTTTTGTTTATGATAAATACTAAATTTAAACTAAGTTATAAGGTGTGCGGTTTGGAAATATGGAAGATACAAGAATGAAGCCAGATAACAAGTTTATGCTTGTATTTTCTACTGATGAAGACTTTCAGACAAGTTATTTCCATGGGTAGGTGATGTGGCTCTGCATGTATACATACATTTATACTTATTTGCATGGTTATACATGTAGGAGTAGTACAATTTTGGCTTGGCCTGTGACCTGTTTTCTCAGCTTGGGGGTCGAGATGGGGAATATGTGGATAAATGGCTCTGAATTGGATTTGGGTCTATAAATTTCAGAATAAATCAGCAAACAGTTGAAGAAACCCACAAAACTTTCAAAAATAGAACCCATGGTCACATAGTCAATATTGTACTTGGTTCCCTTACTTTCTGTGCCTAAGTATTAAGACATCACGCAGTATCATGATTCCACAATAGTAATTTTGAACTCTGACGAAAATTCTATAGAAAAGATGCACTTTTTTTAAAGAAATGAAAAACCTCAAATGTGAACAAATTTTACTGTTTGAATAAAAATCCATTATCATTTTTTGTTAAATTTTATGGGCTTTGATGAGCTTGACTTACCTCTGTAAGGAAACTGGAAATGATTTTAAGTAGTCAACTAAAATTGCTACCATCGTCAGAATTTCATATTGTGATGTGTCTGTCCTTTATATAGTGGCACCTGACAACCCATTTGCTTTTATGTCTGATCACTTTTTATATTTTTAAAAAATGATGCCACTTAAGATATGGGATATAGCCCATCTGTATTCTGTGTTTTGTTCAGTGAGTTATACAATGGATGTATGTACTGAAACAATAAGCCTTCATTGTATGTTATTTTTACATTCACTGATATATATATTCATAGTCATAAGTAGGTGTGTTTGTTACTCATTTGTTGGGTGATGTTAACTTCTGTGGAGACACAGTTTGCTTGTTCTTCATAGCTAGCTATTGGGAAGGACAGCATTCCCTTTAGCTCTGTTCTAGAATGGGGGGATGATTGAGGGGTTTACTGAAAGAAAACTATTTCGAAGTCCTTTTGCTACTGTGTTAGGAAGAGGGTGGCAATACCATTTTAAAGCATGTGCTCATTTTATAAGCATGAATGCTGGGCTATTGTAGCATGAATTACTGTAGTATGATTACTGTGGTGCTTACCTGAAGTTAGTGATGTGATTTGGGTTTGGGAGCATGTTCTTATTTTTCCAATAAGAACTTTCTCAACTTCTTTTAAAACTTACTCACAAGGATGCTATCCTTTACTTGAATGAAATTATCTTTCTCAGGGAAAAGAAAATATAAATATCCCTTGTCCTTCTTCATAAGATACCCAAAGCAAAATCCTGACAGTGGGTTTTGTGGTATTGCCTTTTTGTAGAGTTTTGTAAAGTGTGTAACATCCCTGTTACTGTAAAAGAGCCTTGCTGGAGGTAAATAAGTTAGTGGATAGCGTTCTTGTGCCAACTTTATTTAGTAAACAAGAAATGTAGGTGTGATTTTCCTCTCCAAGCTTACTAGGAATTTTTAGTATTAGCTACTAAAAGAGCTAAACTCATTTTTTCTAAGGGCACTAAGTTAGATTTCAACAGTTTCCTGCAGTTTCCCCTCATTTTCTTTGTGGAGTCATCATCGCCTTTTCTTAATCTGTTGCTCTGTAGGAATAATTCAGTGTCACATTGTGTAGTCTTGTCTTCTGTTCTTCATAGTAATGACCTTTTGCTCTTTCCAAAATGTGTCCCTCATCTTTGTAAACCTGGTTTATCTTCTCTACTTCAGCATCATGTTCAAAATACCAGATGCATAAAGTGAGCTCTCATCAGATACAGTGGTAGTTAAGGCAGCTGGCATTTAGTGGGCTCTTAGTTAATTGGAGAGGTATTTCTTACCCCACAAGTTAGATACAAGTATACATTTTTTTTCCTCCCTAGATGGACCTCCAGTTGTAGCTCATTATGATATGTCTGACACCAGCTCTGACCCAGAAGTGGTAAATGTGGACAATTTATTGGCGGCTGCAGTAGTTCAAGAGCACAGTAATTCAGTAGGCGGCCAGAACACAGGAGCTACCTGGAGGACCAGCGAGCTTCTAGAGGCAGGTTGGTCTCCCCTCCCTTTTCTAATGACATAATATGCATGAGTCCTGCCAACCATTTCTTCTGATCGTAGGCCCTGCTGAGGAGAGTAAGCCATGCACAGCTATCTGTCATTGAATGATTGTGACTATCCAGGCTGCCCTGTATAATGAAAGATTTGAGTAGCATATCATTTTACTTCTTAATTAGAAGGAAGCAAATAAAAATGTATGAATGTGTAGGCATCAAGTTCCAGGAGGCAGATTCTTGTGTTAAAATGCTTCTATGAAAAAAAAAAAAAAGCAACCAAGATGTCCTCATGCCCCTTGACTAGTTCTTTCCCTGTGGTGACTCTGGATAGCCAGCCTGCAGCTGCAGGAGGGCGGTGGCTGCTCCCTGCCTGCTGTGTTTCCTTCTGTAGTGCTATCCTTGTTTCCTCTGTGGTCTCTCTCCCTGTTAATTCCTCCCCAGTAAGCTCTCCCTCACCGTTTCTAATATTTTCTTTCACCTGCCTCCATCATTTCAGAGAGAGTCTCTTACCATAATACGCTGCTTATTGGAAACTTCTTACCATGCCTCCAGCTTCCCTTCAATCTCTTCCTCAAATATTCTTTCTAATTTTTTCAAACCATTAGTATTTAAGCTTATGATAGGGGGAGGAAACTTAAACAACCCTTCTTATGCAGTGCATGTTTTCTTTGTTGCTTTTGAAGAATCATGTTCATAGGTTTAATGTCCTGCTCTGGCAGTTTAATCATTAGTGCAAGTATTACTTTTATGTGAAGTTTTGTAATATAATTTATTTTTCTGCATTATAACACAGTGCCAGTGGTGGTTGTCCTGAATTCTTTCTGTCACCATCTTTTATTAACACTGAAGAAGAGTAACTTATTGAAATTGGATTTAGTTTTGATCTTGAATCAGTTGCTTTTCTTTTGGATTCTTATTTTTATGTGTATAAATACTTGCCTAACAAGAATCTTTTAAGCATTTATTAGGATTCTACATCAGTACTTTGAAAAGAAATAATACTTTAAAATTAGAGACAATACTGACCACATTTTGTATAACATGCTTCCAAGCTGTGTGATTTAGTTTATTCTATTACTAGATTTTTATTTATTCTTATCCATGGCTGAAGAAGTAATCTATCTATCTCAATTTTATTTTCCTGTTTCCCTGACCATGTCATTACATACAGACCACTTACTAGTAAATTATTGGGGATAAAAATGAACAATTCCGGCCGGGTGTTGGTGGCATACGCCCTTAATCCCAGTTCTTGGGAGACAGAGGCAGGCGCTTCTCTGTGAGTTTGAGGCCAGCCTGGTCTACAAAGTGAGTTCCAGGACAGGCTCCAAAAGGCAACACAGAGAAACTCTGTCTTGAAAAACAAAACAAAACAAAACAAAACAAAACACAATTCCCAGCATGTTGTTCTTTTTCTAAAACCAAAAACTAAATCGTGTGTGTGTGTGTGTGTGTGTGTGTGTGTGTGTATGTGTGTGTGTGTCCACGAAGGCCTGCTTGTCTGCATGTGTACCGTGTGCATGCAGTATCCATCGAGGCCAGAATAGGTTGTCATTGCCTGGAACTGGAGCTTCTGATGCTTGTGAGCCATTGTGTAGATGTTAGGAAATGCAACTGTGTTCTCTGCAAGACCAGCAGAGCAGCAAGTGCTCTTAACCTAGGAGCTGCCTCTCCAACCTACACGGTATTTATTTATTTATTTACTTATTTATTTATCTACTTATTTATTTATTTCATGTTGTTCGCCTACATGTATGTCTGTGCACTACCTGAATGCCTGGTGCCAAAAGATGGCATCAGATTCCCTGGAACTGGTGTTACAGATGCTTGTGAACTAACATGTGGGTGCTGGGAATCAAACTTGGATTCTCTAGAAGTGGGGGAGCCAGTGTTCTTCAGTGCTGTCTCTCTAGCTCATGTAATTCTTTTTTTTTCTCCTCAAGACAGGGTTTCTCTGTGGCTTTGGAGGCTGTCCTGGAACTAGCTCTTGCAGACCAGGTTGGTCTTGAACTCACAGAGATCCACCTGCCTCTGCTTCCTGAATTCTGGGTTTAAAGGCATGTGCCACCAACTCCCAGCTCTCATGTAATTCTTAATATAGAGAATTCTTTATCAGTATGTTGACTCATGCAGAATTGTTAATGTTTTTCTTGCACCTACAGAAAACCCAGCAGTTCCATCTTGGGTAGTATTTGTATTTTCATATTCAGGTATAGTTATATCTTAGTGTCTGTGGGGGATTTGTTCCAGAACCTCTGGATTATAAAACAAAATAAAACCAAAACCCTTAGAGGGACTGGACCCATAACCCCAGCACTCGGCATGCCGAATTAGGAGAATCAGTCTGAGTTTAAGGCTAGTGTGGGCTACAAAGTAAATTTGGGTTAACTTGAACTAGAGTAAGATCTGTTTGAAACAAACAAACAAACAAATCCAAATCCATAAGAAAGAAGAAATCCCTGTTATAAAATGGTATAGTATTTGAATGTAACTCACACACCTTTCTACTTCAGTGGTTCTTGGATTATATACAAGCCCTCATCATTGTACTATTTGTCGTTTGGGGCAATGCCAACAAAAAAACCTGAATGTTCAGTTTTTCCATTCATAGTTGGTGGAAATTCTGAATGTGGAGCCAGGGGTATGGAGGGCTCACTGTAAATTTTAGCTTCTTTATTTGAGACATCATGATTACTGTGTACCTACCACCATTGTTTTAAAGAAACAAAATGTGCTGAAAGTGTGAGGAGGGTGACACCAGGGGCTTTAACCCTGCTGCTTTCCCCTTTCCTCTCAAAGTTGTCCTAAATTTGTTGTTTGGCATTTCTGTGTTATTTCTTTATGTTAATTAGTAATTAGTTTTAAAACATACCTACTTTAGAATTAATTGCATTGCAGACAATCATTTGTAATGTTTTATTTAACTTAAACATTTCAAGAGCTTTGTGCTTGCTAAGCATGAATCTGGTTCATTACTTTTTTTTCACTATTTAGTATTCTAAATGAATATCACAACCTACTTTTACTGAATGTTCAGGGTGCTGTTTTAAATGATGCTGCTGTTAACATTTTTGTATATATGCATATACACATAATTTTGTATATGTATATACACATATATAATTTTGTGTATATATAATTTCTTTAGGTTATAATACATAAAGTATGTGTGCAAATTGGGCTACAAATTATGGTAGGTTAATCTTTAGGATACAGTTACCATTATTTAATAGCTTCCATGACATCCTCTTGTGAAAATGTCTCTTTCAAACTCATTTTCCCTAGATAGGAAAATGTAGACTATTATGTGAATAATAAATGAAATCAAATGTTATGATTTATGGTAGGAATCTATTACATGGATATAAGCATTATGGTGTCATTTTAAAATGTTAATAAAAGTCATGATTGTCATTTTAGTTTTGGTATTTTCTCTGTTTTGAGTTTTGAATGTAAGTTAAATGTTCCATGGTTAATCTGGTATCCCTGGGTCACAGGTAAAATGTAGTCACTGAGCAAACTATTCATATGTTCACTTTAATAGCAGAATATCAGCTCAAGTCCACAGCTCTTATGTATTTAGGGTCATTTGATTAATCATTGGTAATGGATCAGTCAGCTTCCTTTTCAAAGCAATTAGATGATGTTCTTGTATTAGCATTATTTAATAGCTTTAGTTTTGACCTAGGTAAAAGAGTTCAGTAACAGGTAGTTTTTTTTTTTTTTAAGACTAGTTTGGAATCAGGGAAGATATTGGTCAGCAAGAGATCTACATTTTTAAATTTTGCAGTGTATCCTTATATGATATTTGACTTGCTGTGTAGGATGCTTGTAGGTGGATTTTTCATGTCCTGGGAGCCACTTCCAGGTTACCACACAGAGATTTATATTAACTGTAAATGCTCGGCCACTAGCTCAGGCTTGTTACTAACTGGCTTTTACAGCTTAAACCATTTCTATGTGCTGCCCTGAGGCTTGTGGCTTTTACCTGTATCCCATTTTGTGTGTCCGACTTATTCTCTGTCTGGTGACTCTTCTAACTCCACTCTTCCTCATTCCTTCATTCTTAGTTTGCCTTTCATGCCTAACTTTATCCTGTTCAGCTATTGGCCAGTCAGCTTGTTTATTAGGCCAATCATAGCGACACATATTCACACAGTGTACAGAAGGATTATTTCACAGCAGGCGCTTTTGAACCAGTAGCCAATTAGGAACTGTGCAACCATAGGTCAGTTATGCAAAGCCTCAGTTTTCTCTATCTATGAAACTAGTGTCTGCCTCACCAAAGGTTATTGTTACTGTTACCTATACAGCATAAAACAGGAGTGCTCACCACCATTGTGCTAAGTAATAATGACAGTGCTGAAGTGGGTTAAGCAAGGAAGAGTGCTATTGCCATGAGTTTGAGCTATCCTTGACTGAATAGTTAGTTTCAGCCAGCTTGGGTTAGCGAGTAAAGATCCTATTTCAAAACAACAAAATAGAAAAAAAAACAAAAACCAACAACAATAAAATTGTACTTGGGGTTCAATACTCTTGGATATAGGACAAGGCAGCCCAACTTGTTCACACTTGCAATCCTCTACATCCGGGCCCAAGTACTTGGACTGTAAGCGTTGTCAGGCAGCTTGGTTTTGGACTACAGTTGAATGTTTGTTTTTGAGACAGGGTCTTGTATAGTCCAAGCTGGCCTTGAACTCATGATCCTTTTGCCTCCATCTTCCAAATACTGGAATTATAGGCATGTACCCACTCTATGTGGCTTACACTACAGTTTTTGTGGGTCTAATAATCTGAAAGTAGTATCTAAATTATTGGCTTTTAGATTTATGATGAATAAAGCTAGAATAATATGAAATACTAGTGATAAAAAAGGATATTCTAAAAATAACATGTTTTGTGGGTTCTTCAGAAAATGTTTTTTGAAGGGGAAAACAAGATATTATATGTCACATATCCACAGGCCAGGGTGAGGGGCTTGCCTGGGAAAGGCT